AACGCTTCGAACCACACTTTACATTCCCACCGTAAGTCTGTTCCAACGTTCAAGTGATTACTTGCGGTTGACGGTAGTATCATAGGCTGTCCAAATCAACTCAACAAATGCATCACCGTGTTCGTAGCTTTGGTCAAACTGTGACCCTTGTTACTCTGTCTCCAGATTGCAACAGTATTCTTGTGGCATATGTAACTAGGGATGCTTATCACTATTGTCTGTGGGACCTTGTGTCGGACAAAATTCAGTCGCTCATTAATATTCCGCTGGCACGCATCCAGGGAATACCGCAGCGTATTCCTTGTGGTGTGTTCTCCTCAGATGGAGAAACTATCAGCGCCTATACACCAACTTCGGAGGTCAAAATACTCAACACGAAGACAGGCGAGGTAGAATTTGAGCAAATAGTGGAGCACAACACGTCATATGGAGTAATGCAACCGGATGGCAAACAATTTGCATATGCTATGCGCTATACAAGTTCGAATTTCATCCGGTTCGTGTCTACAGATGACCTTACACAAAAAGCGGTCGGGCTGGCTCCGGACACAGACAAGAATGAATACATCACCTGTTTGGCGTTCTCCCCACTCGGAAATTTCCTTGCATGTGGAACCAATAAAGGATCGATTTCCTTATGGAATGTCCGCACCAGAAACGACATATTTGTGTCCAGTGGCACGAATTTTTCCCTTCCAGTTGCGTTGCTTACATTTTCCCCAGACGAAAGCCGTCTCTTTTCTGGTCACCATTCTCGGTTGGGGCAAGAAGACTACTCGAGCAACTGCATCCAAGTTATCACTTGGAACCAGGGTCGATATGAGCACAAAGAACCCAAAATATTGTGGCAGAAAAGAGTACGCCAGGGAGAAGATCCACTTGGTCAAATAATTACATCGCCAACTGGAAGATATCTCCTTTACACGAACTGGGCAGTTCTTCATTTTATAGATTTGGAATCTCCCGATACCGCTGATCCAATCCCGCCGTTGGTTAGTGGGAGTGATTCTCCTATCACTTCTATGGCATTCTCAAATGACGAATCAATGATTGTCGCTGGGGATAAAGCTGGATCTGTGCATGTATGGCGGGTCTCAAAGCCTTTCGGGGCCCAAGAGTCGCTCTGGGAGAAAGGAGATGCATCTGGGTGGATTCATGGGCCCAAGAAAGAGTTGCTTGCTTGGGTACCACCCGAGTTGAGAGACGAGTTAAACTGGAATCGCCTGGTGGCTGGTGAGGCTCATGGTGTGTCGTGGATAGAGTCTCTGGTCAAGAATTAGTTGGAGACTTGCAAGAACCTACCATAATATACAGTGGCTATTAAATGTTAAAACTATGTATATCATTTATTTGCCGTATGATTTGGTCGAATCAACATGTACAGTATATCGAGAAACAAATTTGCTTCCAAACATAGTTCAAACATAGTCGATTCCAAAGTTCCAAGTTCAAATCTGACGCTTTGGCATCTCAAACGAGGTAAAAGGCCTCATGATGTTTTCACTGCCACGTCCGCTGCGCCTAGCTGAACGAAAACTCGAATTAAGGACAAACTCGGCGACCACAAGAGTCCCCGTCACCTGCTTTCCCTAGCGACGACACCAAACTGGAAGGGTTATTCCGATTATTTATTTCCTTGTTCAATAGATGGGATTAATGATTAGTGAGATGAGCGACAGAGGCGGCGCTTGTGATGCAAGTTGTCGAGGGCAAAAAAGCGGGTTTGAGAAGAGACGAATGCACAGAGTATTGGGAAGGAAGGGGGCGATGCAGGCTATGGGGTTTCATGTTTTGGTTTGACTGGGATGGAGTATGGGACAGAGTACACGATGGAGGAGAAAGACAGCGTACAGTAGAATATGGGAAGAGGAGGCTCGTCGGAAGGATGAAAGGAAACGGGTAGGGAGGAGCAGGCCCGGAGGTGGAGTGTAGTATGCGGTAGGGGAAGGAAAAATGGAGTACGGAGTCGAAGAATCTAAATGAACCACTCACATATTTCAAACGGCAGCCTCATACTCGTAAAGTAAACTGTTCCTGCACCTGCACGGACGAGTGGGAGGGAGACAGGGGAAGGAGAGGCCCGAGAGGCTTTTTATTGTGTTTACTATCAATCCCATGATATCGTTAGCATCGGAGGTGGACAAGGATGAGTAGGAAGTGTACGAGAAAGCCCCTACCCCAATCTCTCAACTCGCTAAATCCCTGTGACCAACGAGCGCGGCATTTTCTCCTGATTAGTGACGTATGATTCTGGTGTAGACTGAGATGCAGACGCGTGGCTAGAAGAAGGAGCGGGAGTGGGAGCAGCGTTGGTGGTTGGACTGGGTGATTGGTGATTGTGAGGTTTCTGCAGCCGTGGATGTGTGGTGTTGTTCTTGTAGTCAAAGTGCAGTGTAGCAGCGTATCCGTCGTCATAGCTTTTCTCAAGCTTGTTGTCGCTGACCTTCCTAGCCTCGAACTAACCCTTTCTGGTCCTCCATCTCTGTCTCTCGATGTATCTACCACCAGGGAAGCGGAGGAAGAACGCAGGAGGAGAAATACGAAGGAGAGAGAGGGAAGATGGGGACGCAAATATAGGACATAGGAGCAGGGAGGCGGAATGAGAAAGTCGTGAGTACCGGCAATGCCTGCAAAATTGGTGTCTGTTTGTACATATTTGTTTTGTGCCGTAAATTAGGCAATTGGTGCGCTCGCAGATAGTTTGGTTTGTACAGACTTGAAAATATAGTCAAGCATATAATTTTTTTTGCGGGATATACTGAGAAAATTGTCTTACTTGAAGTGTTGGAAGCAGATTTTTTAGATCTCTCTTTTCAAATTTCATGTAACTGAAGATCCCACCAGCCAAAGACAATAGGGCACATTATAAAAATTCCACTTCCAAGACTTCAAATAAAACACTAAGCTTGTCTAGATGCATTTGACCCGAAGGGAATTGGTGGAGATTTGAGAGCTGCAGGACACAAACAATTTTCAGTGAGATCAGGCTTTGGAATTGAGCGCTTAATCAGAATTTTGGGCGAAACAGGGATGGAACCATTGGATTTTATAACTATCTCATAATTTTACTTACGGGTATTGTATATATAGCCAAATCGTTTCTTAATTGTAGTTTTTGAGCTTAAAATGAGCCATATGTACAGTGAAATCGATGTTGAAGGTATTGTGCCTTCAATGCGCGAATTTACGGCACAAAACAAATATGTACAAACAGACACCGATTTTGCAGGCATTGCCGGTACTCAAAAGTCGCGTAAATTAGACGCGCGCTTAAATAACCACGTGTGCTCTCAGATATCGTTCGATTTCAGACTTTAAGCTTTAACCACCATGGCCTCGCTGAATCCCCGAACGACGGCCTACGAATTTCTTGGGCCAGCAGGAGCCTTTCTAATTTCTGCTGGTGTCCCTTTGACGACATATGCCTTGTACTACGGATGCAGCGAACAAACAGGCGGCTGCCCCCCTCCAGGCCTAACTCTCTCATTCTTCACCGAAAAACTGGTCACTCTCCCATTCCATCTTCTCGAACCTTCCTGGTGGCTCAACCTCTGGTCTGAGCTCTGGGATACTGAAGCTTCTCTCATGTACCTCGCCTGGTACACTTTCTGCGTCGTTGCCTGGCGCGTTCTGCCCGGCGCAGAGGTCCCTGGAACGACCATGCGCGATGGAAACGTAAAGAAATATAAAATCAACGCATTTTCTACTTTTCTCCTTGCCCTCGGTCTCGTCTCTGGACTCATCCTCCGTTCTGGTCCAGAATCGTTCACGTTCTTGTACGAACGCTGGATCGGATTCGTCACTGCATCGGTAATCATGTCCGTAACCCAGGCTGTTGCTGTCTACGCCATGTCATTCCGGGAAGGTGCGTTGCTGGCACTGGGAGGAAACTCTGGGAATATCATGTATGATTGGTTCATTGGTCGTCAGCTCAACCCGACCATCTCCATTTTGGGAGCAGAGTTTGATATCAAAACGTTCAATGAGCTTAGACCAGGCCTTATTTTGTGGGCATTGATCGATATCAGTATGATGTGCGAACAGGCTGTGAGACGGGGCGGATTCACTGGTGTTACAGATTCGATGTGGCTGGTGCTTTTCTTCCAGATTGGATATGTCGCTGACGGGTTGTATAATGAGGTTAGTGAATTGACATACGCGACTTCATTTGTTAAACTTGTTTTCAGCCTGCTATTCTCACAACGATGGACATCACTACCGACGGATTTGGCTTCATGCTCAGTGTAGGAGATCTTGCATGGGGTGCGTAGCGTACCAAGCCTCCTATCGATAGAAATCTGACTCCTGTCCCAGTCCCCTTCGTCTACTCCCTCCAAGCCCGCTACCTCGCCTTCCACCCAACTACCCTCGGTCCCGTCTACACCGCACTTATCATCCTCGTCGATGCCCTCGGATTCTACATCTTCCGCTCCGCCAACGGCGAAAAGAATGACTTCCGCTCCGGCAATGACACTCGAAACCTTCAATACCTCACTGTGACTACGACAAGCGGTAAACAATCCAAATTGATTACGAGTGGATGGTGGGGTCGCTCGAGGCATCCGAATTACTTTGGGGATATACTTGATGGCATTGGCGTGGTCGTTGCCTACGGGGATAGAAACACCGATTACTTATTTCTATGTGGTGTATTTTGCGGTCCTTTTGGTACATAGGCAGATGAGGGATGATGAGGCTTGTGAGAAGAAGTGAGTGCTAATCCTCTAACTGGTGCATTCGTGCTTGACGCGATCGTTTTTTTGTAGGTACGGCAAGGACTGGGAAAAGTACAAAAAGCTTGTGCGTTGGAGAATAATTCCGTATGTTTACTAGGTGCTAGGTCTCGGTAGGGTGGATTGAAAGAAATGAACTTTTTTGTTTGCTACAAGTACAATGTTAGTAATCACGTTTCCATAAATTATAGTTCGATAACGTTCGTTGCACTGGGCACAATGGGAGGAACAAAAATAAGCCAATAAACCTGCCTTGAAGAAACTTTATGCATTAAGAGGGAATCGAACCCCCGGCGGGTCGAAACAACAAATGGCAACGACCCAGGTTACCACTACCCCATTAATGCATACTTTGTGGTGACGATTCAAGCCAAGAGGTGACGAGGATTCTAAGCGAACACACTGTCCCACGCTAGACAGAGGGTATGAAAAAGGAAGGAGTCCAGGCTGAATCCATCGGCAAACCACTGCCGCCGGGTTGACAGCCGTCATGTGCCGTAGTCAGGATAAAATTACTCCCTGTGTTGTCCTTATTCATTGCGCGTCGCGCTAAACGCGTCTCAACGTCGCGAAACGGCGCGAATCTACCGCTCTAATTTCTCAAAAATGCAACTCGAATCCTGTACATAATGTCTATAACAATCAGCCCAACAATGACCATATACTTCTGCCTCTGCATTACCTTCTACGGCCACCGCATCTACCACCACCACTGCCCCTTCCACAAAGTCACATTCTACCGCTACCATTACCCCTCCTACCAACTCACATTCCAATGTCAATTCTGCAATTGAAAAGCCTCGGATACGACCGAAACCAAAGCCAAAGGTTACAATTTCACGGAATGAGTCACTTTCCGCTATCGCTTCATCTTCTAATTGAGTTATTGGCGCGTCTGTACCTGCACAGGTCACGCATATGACACTGACCAAGCCAAGAAGAGGTCAGCTGTACCTGATGGTGTTACACCATCGCGCGCACATACAGATAAGAAGGCGCTGAATCATAGGCTACAACCGTAATATTTTGTTTAGCTTTACTTTGCATCCTAATACCAGTACATACCAGTACATAGTTTGAGCCAAATTCTTTCATTCTGAGTGCAACTGAGACGCGTTCATGGCGTTCAGCGCAACACGACGTTGACGCGACGCATAATTGTAATTGTAACGGCATGACGGCTGGGTTGACAGCGGCAGTGATTCGCCGATGGACCCGACCTGGACTCCTTCCTTTTTCATACCCTCTGTCTAAGCGTGGGACAGTGTGTTCGCTTAGAATCCTCGTCACCTCTTGATTCAAGCAATAGAGTTACAAAAGTTCTCAAATCATCTTCCAATTCCCAATGTAAAAGTGTTCAAAATCTGAGGAGTCTGACTCTGAGGAGATTGCTTGGAATCGTACTATTAGCGCTCAGTTCATTGACCCCAGCATATGTAGCTTACTGAATCAAATCTGAATCAAATCTGATCCTTTGGTACTCTCCTGATACCGAGACCCTACCTGAGAATTTGAAATGGTTTCTTATCTTAATTTTGACTAACAATTTACAATGTTCAAGAATAGAAAGAGCACTGCAGTGCGAGAAGGCCCGCGCGCGCGGAGGTATACAGCCTGGACCAAGCGCAACGTCAGTCAATGGGCAACCTGTATACTTATCAAGAATATAGTGCAAGAGGCTTATACGGTTACCCTATTTTGTCCGAACCGAGATAACTGGGTTTATTTATGTAGATTCCTACCTCTTGGCAGGTCCGCCAACGTCAGCATCAAGGTGGGACAGCGGGACGCCCAAGGCGTGTGTATTTACCTTAAGTGTATCATCCGTCTGGATTCGGATTATCGAGACTACGGACGTGTAAGTATAGCTTCGCGTCTTCGCTTCTTTCGCTACCCAGTTTTAGGGTAGCATCAATAATCAGGGATCGGCGTTAGATCATTATCAGCCAACGCGTCCTCCGCGGGATTGACAAGATGGATAACACACACTCTATTTCAAATAACCTCAGATGCAACACACCTTCGAAATGCAACACATTAGGATACCAGGTGTGCTGCATCTGAGGGCACATGTTTATCTAAGATTTTGGTCTTAAGAGTCCCTGAGGCATTGATTTGCGGGGCGCCGTTAGGGCTAGCTCTGCTAGCCCTAAGCAATGCAGATTGCCTGAGTGAAATTCTAGCTGGTTAGGGTTCGGGGTTGGGGCGCCGAAGGCGCTAGGTTAGGGGTTAGGGTTGCCCGAAGGGCTTGAGGACATTTTTCCTGCGCAAAATGAAGCTTTAGAGTGCCCGCCGACGACTCCCCGGCTCGGGGGACCCCCCGACCGCAGCGAGGGAGGGGATGGGAGCGGAGTGCGGGCCTGAAATTTTGCGCGCACGTCCGACCTGAATTGGAAATCTAAAAAGCAGCACAGTGCTGCATCTCAAATAATTTGAAATACAGTGTGTGTTATCCATCTTGTATATCCTCACGCACATATAAAAGGAAGAGAGCATCAACTTTCTTCACTGCTTTTAGTCCTCCCTCTTCTTTGCGGGCCAAAGAAAGGGTAGTTTATCGTTCACTGTCACTCTCACTAGTTCACTCTCGACGAAAGACCGTTGTCACGATCCTAAACCATTCCATCCCATCTCATACGCCGTTAATATGCGTTTTGCCTCTACCAGCGTTTTTCTTCTCTTGGCCGGTCTTATTCCTACTGCGTTTGCTTTACCTGTTGTGAGTATTTGAGTCTATTCCTTCAGCGGAAGTACGCAAACAAACTCATGATCTCCGAAAGGTCGATGCTCGCTCTGAGTTAGACTCGGTGGAAGCCTTCCAGGCTAGGGGATTGGATTTAGAGATACGAGGCTCCTCGTACGGGGAACCACTTCTTTCTCGAGCAGGCAAAGGAATGCCCATCGAAGCCTTCTTTGTAACCTTAGATGAACACAAGGCGAATCCTGATCCAAACTTTCTTGCACAAGCCATAAAAATCGGCCAGGGTTTTATTAAAGAAGCGAAGGCGGCTGGGGTCAAGGATTTCCAAAATATGCCTTCACCCATTGAGCTAAAAGCAGATCGAGATTCAGATAAAGTGGGAATTGTCAAGCATTTTAAATTTCAGTTCAAATGGGTACCCCCCGCTGGGAAAGAGGCGGTGTATCATGTAACTTGGAACGAGGAGTCAACCCCCCATGAGAAGGACATTTTCAAGGGCGCGGAGCAGGTGTACCCGATCAAACCTTGATGAGGTGAGTACTTTCGATTTTGGTACTTCTGTTTCCTCATTGGTCTCATTGGTCTCCTAGACATTGTCCAGATGATCGTTATTTATTATGTTATAGACTCCAGCTTCGTGGGATGTGGCTTGGGATCTAATGTGGTACAAAGTGTGTAATCTTGACCCAGAGTGACTCCATTGAATGAAACAAACTTTGGATGAACAAAAGAATTCGGAATGAGTTTGGAATGAGTACATAACTTTCTGGAACTAGTAGAAACATATTAAGAAGGGCGGAATTTCGGGAGGTTCATAAAGGTATGGATCCAGTAGCTGCATCGGGACCCGCGATTTCTCCATTTATTTTAGTACGGGACGAAGAATGAAAAGGAGGAGATGCTTAGAGACAGATATGGACGACGATAAGGAGTACGTATGTACTCACACTTTATTGCTATAGTACTTACTACCGTCTAGAATCGAAAAGGATACGGAAGTGTCAATACTTTTGGAGCAAGTACCTTCAAGTTTGCTCGCAACATTGACTGCCTAATATGTATTTCGCAAAAAAGATTTAGAGACTATACTAAAAATAAGCACCGCTTCCCTTTAAACAAAGCTATATGAACCGGAGGCGGTGATGAGTAGGCGCTAGTCTCCTATAACTTATAAGCAGACTCAAATATACACTGACAATTAGTAAGTAGTAGGCATCCATCTTTTTTTTCGCCTCCGCACGCCTTTCGAGGTTTTGATAGTGGAAAGTTGGTTGAAAGGAATTTTCTTCTACTATAAGTTCTCACTACTCAAGAAGTGAATCTGCGTATTACTTGCTATTTTGGGACATTGTGGGTACTGCTTTGACCTTTTGCCGTTTGGACTCGAGGTTGTGCCTACGTGTCGCTTCTGCATAAAATATAAAATTTGAATTGTGCGGGGCAGGCCCAACCAAGCCTGCATCGTAAAATCCATATACACACACATCCAACGGATTGTCAGTGTATATTCGAGTCCGCTTATAGGAGACTAATCGTGAACACTGGATGTACTGTAGTATCTGGGATGTACACCCTCTGTAAATTTTAGGGAATGTAAATTAGTACTTATATTAACCAGTATCTAGTTATGATCTATGTATCGGCGAAATTGCGATATCTATATCAAAACACTTTGTTGGATGGTTAATCGGACTTTCGGTTCTAGTTTGGCGCGCTTCTGTCATATTTGACGCTTTGACCTCTGGTCCGCTACTGGGTCACGAATCGGAAAACGCTAAATCATCTCAAACTGGAACTTTAGTTTTTGGATTGCCAAATACATAATATATATGTGTATCATATTTCTTGCATTAAAAAGTGCTGTAAAGAACAAAGTAACGCTGTAGTATGTTCTTTTAGCAAATAGAAGATGAATTCTTTGTGTTACACCGCGCGCCTCGACAGCCTCCGTCGAGCATTGCTAATAGTTTTCCCCTTTTCCCTTCTTTTGCCTAGCCCTCTTCCTTGAAGTGGGATGTTTCGTGAGGATGCGGAGGAATATGGCCACTGGGTATTGGGGTTGGGTATGTTTCCATCGAAAGTCACTTTACCACGTGCATATCCTCATACTATAGGTCAGCCTTGAACTAGAACCTTTGCCTTCAGTCATTCGACTGAGTTCGAAGACAGTGCTTCTTCGAAGTTGATTGGCCCTTCGTTGGTGCAGCTCTGACTGGGCTGGTAGTCTCTTTGTCGTAGACTTCGCCTACTGAGCGAGGGCTGCAGACTGAACGGATATCTTTGCTTGATCCTGAAGACACTCTAGACCAACTCCTTGAACTTGCCTTTGCTGGTGGGAACTCCCTGAATAAACAATCTTTCCTCAACCACTCTCTCTTTACCCCGTCTCTTGCTCATCTTCCACTCTTAGCTTTGCTAAGCGATTGGACAGTTAGATCTTCGCGCGAGTGCGAGGACATTTCGCTCGACGCTGAAGACAGTCGAGACCAACTCCTCGAACTTGTTTTTACCGTTAAAGGCGGCAACTCCGTAGACGGTCTTTCCCTGTACTCTCCCTTTCTCGTCTTTCTCTTCTTAGCAGCTGTTGCGAGCTCGAGTCCTGAAATTAGTCGGAGCCGCCTCGAGCTTATTTTAGCATTCATCGAC